TCCTCTTGTGGGCACATGTGACCCTCTCCCAATTCACAGGTATAAGGACATAGGAACCCACTTTCTTAACTAAGACATTGTGACTGTGTTATATGTCATTGCTGAAGGGGTCTGCAAGATCTTTAACTACACTGTATTCTACTATGATGGAAACTTAAAAGAATGCAAGACAGAGAATGTGTGGAGATAAAATGAGTATAAAGTACACCACTGATGAGAAGAAAATCTCTCTCTGCTGTCTCTCAGAGCCAAACCACAAATATTCCCCACTGAACATCAACGTCAATCAAAATCATTCTACCACGAGCCACAAAATCATTGTGAAATTACCTCTTCACAAGCCAAAAAGGGCATTCTGTGTATCACATTAATGGAAACGTGCCTCTGTCTTGTTAGGCATGGATGTCTGCCACTGTTTTACAAAGTACAGAAACTTCTTCTTCACTTTGTTTTGCCCTAGATAAAATTGAGATCCTCGACAGTAGAGTGCCCAGCTTCTTTCCAGTGTCTATACAGAACAGGCTCTCTTGTTAAACTTACCCCTAAAGAGCACCTAGAACAAAGTCAAATCCCACAAAAATCCTTTGAGAATCTGTAGCTGAGAAGCCCCAATGTAAATCATTATGCACAATATCTTTGCTGTATCAAGTGGAGGAAAACAAAAACCAGCATCCCAAATTAATAGCTTATTAAACTTTGAGTGTATGTGAGTTCTTATGATCTCTGCTTAGAGGACATGAACCTGTAGAAAGAGAACAAAGCTCAAAATCTTAACTTTTTTAGATGTAGAAACAAAAGTTCAGGCAGAATATGTGGTCTGTCTAAACTTACATTCGTGAGTCAAAACCAAGTCTTCTGATCCCAGGTCTCAGGTAGAACCTTCCAGGTGGTCTCTCTGGGTCCATTGCTTTTAAGGTGAGAACACCTTACAATTGTCCAGCCTTTCTGGAGAAGGTGAAGACCCCATCTTCATAGGCTGTCCCTGTAAGAGACCCAAGAAGTGCACATGTCATGTCATAGCCAAGGTGATGTCCTCTCTCAAAGAAGAGGGGATGGAGTCTACAAGGCGGGAGACTTTGACCACAGTCACACAACCAGAAAGTGTCAGAGCTGGGATCACACCTTAGCAAAGAGACGATGAGCAGGCAGTTTTCATATAGGGCTGATAGGCCATTGTCTTTGTAGCCTGTTGAGGTGAGGTAGACTTCTGGTGGGACCATCAGAGTGGGAGCAGTGTCAGAAAGGTTCTAAGATCCAGAACCAACACACACCTTGTCTGTGCACAAACAGCTGGTAATATATGTGGACAAGGAACTTGTGGCAGAATAGCCCCACGAAAGACTGGAGGAAAAGCTGTTCATGTGAATAGCACTTAGCTCTGTAGTTAGCTGGCAGGTTAACAGCCCATCCAGACATCTACCCCTTCACAGCCTATTCCCAGAATTAGTAGGGTCAGAGTCTGAAGGGCAGTTTCCTGATCTTTGGACTAAATACACACAAAAGAAAAAAAAAGACACCATAATCAAAGACAGCACCACCAGTGTGACCTGGTATCAACTATTGATCTTACCTCTGTCACTGCACCAGCATCAGGGGGAGGATCTGGTTAATAAGAATAAAGAAGAAACCTAAGAATATTGAAGAGTCATAAATAAGCCAAGATGCCTCCTGCCTTTTCTACGAAATGAAGCAACAGACATTTACTCTAAGCATGTGGCTGTTTACCACCATGAGCCGTTTTTCAAGGACAGGAATGTGTTAACCTTAAGTAAGAGAACTAGGTCCTTCATAAACACGAGTCTGATTAGAATGGACCTGTAATGGTATCTCAACCATACTTCTGGTGTTTGGGGACCTCCACCACACCACCCTCAGTATCTGTATAAAGCTCTCACAGGGGTTTCCTGGAATTCACCAGGCTAACATTGCTTTTCCACAGCAGCTGCTGTATTTAGATTTAGGATGTCTCCAGAGGTTCTTCTAGTAAAGACTTCGTATCCAGCTTGTGGCTCTATTGGCATGTTGTGAAACCATTAAGAGACAGAGCCTGGGCCGGGCAGTGGTGGCGCACGCCTTTAATCCCAGCTCTTGGGAGGCAGAGGCAGGCAGATTTCTGAGTTTGAGAGTTCGAGGCCAGCCTGGTCTACAGATTGAGTTCCAGGACAGCCAGGGCTATACAGAGAAACCCTGTCTCGAAAAACTTTTCTCTTTCCAAACCCTTCCCATGTATATATCTCAACTCTCCTTTAAATTCACAGCCAATTTGTCCTCTAACTGCTCTTTCATGAATATTTTAATTTATAGATATTAATAAATATAATCTCCTTAATGTTTAAAAAAAAAAAAAGAGACAGAGCCTGGTAAGTGGTTTTAGGAAGCTGGAGGAACATTCCTAGCCTCTTCATAGGCACAGAAGCCAGAGAGATAACTGCTTATTCCACTTTATAAGTCACTAATTTCAGGTAATTTCTTGGAGCAGGGAAAAGCAGAGTGACACAGGAAAAGAGTTATATTGTAGTTCAGGGGCCACTGAGATGGCTCAGTGGGTAGAGGTACTTGCAACCAAATCTGATTACATGCATTTGATTACCAGTCCCTATATGGGGGAAGAAATGACTCCTACAAACTGTCCAATGTCCTCTGGCTTCTACGTGTAGACCATGGCATTAATATGGGCACACACCCATGCATGCATGCACACAAGCACACACAAATAAATGAATGAGAAAACAGAAATGTATTTCAGAACATACTGCTTTGTACTTTATACTGTCCCAATTGACCAAGGAAACAAGACCGTTTACCCACAAGACGTTCATTGTATTCTTTCCCTAACTGCTCTTCATTGTCTTGGTTTCCCAGTGCCATTGAGTGACCCTTAGACACTCAAGTCAGAAACTTGTATATACATTTCTTATCTTTTGTCATTTCACACTGAGCCAGTTCCCAAGCTCAACCATTTATACTTCCTAGATGTTTCTCAAATAGGTCCACTTTCTTGAGTCAGTTGGTCACTCTCATCTGCCCCTTAGATGATCCTGAAGTTTTCTGTCTCTCCTGTAATATCCAGTTCTGTTTCTGCTTGGTCTTTTTCCTCACCACATTCAGAACATATCTTACAAATTAAAAAAAATGTAAAAGGACATCTTTTTTTGTGGGCCAGGGGTAGATGATATTTCTCTAAAGATATTGGAGAACATCTGAAGTCTTTGATCCACCCAGTTTATAAATTCTGCTGAGATTGGCAGATATTTTGTCCCGTGTCAGGTGGATCTCCCAGTTTGAGTCCATGGTGACTTTATAGTGTTGAGACTTTTTCTCCCTTTCAATCCACGTCCCAGGTTATTCACACTTCGAAATGTGAAGAAAACGAAATCTAAAGGTATAGTCTTTGAAACTCACACATTTTTTTTTATAGTCCTTTTTGAAATCCTCTTCTTTTGAAATCATCTTAATCTCACAGAAGTTAAGAAATTATTACAGAAAATTCCCATTGTTTCATAGGTCCTAATATATTATATATAGAACAAATATCAAGACCATAAAATGAATTGAGACAATAAAAATATTAAGATATGGATTTTGGGGGGATGGTAGCTATTTATGTGCCTCTTGTTCTTGGTATTTAATCCTATGAAAGCTAAAAAAAAACCAAAAAAAAAACCAAAAAATAAAACAAAACAAAAAAAACAACCCCCCCAAAACCCCCATAGGTTTACATAGCAATCACAGCCCAGTTACAGAGTTATTTCCTCACCAATGAAACATTCTGATAGTATACCTTTAAGCCTACACAATCTAGAGATCTATGCTAACCAATAATTTGTTCTCCATGGATTTAATTTAATCATTTTATAGAGTTTTACAATTTGTAAACACTTGAAATTGAAATTCTTTTATTTAATATAGAACCCATGAGTTATGTCCTTCTTTGAATAAGTAAGTAATTTATTACTTTTCTTAGAGTGACATATCAACTTCTCATTCCCAGATGAAGGAAGATTGTGCTGTTTTTAGCATTTTGGGCCACAAAACTAAAGCTTCCAACTATATGGCGCACATAGAGAATATTACTTTACTTCAAAAAAGAACGAACTCATGTGACAGATGACACTGGAAGACAGCATCCCCAAAATAATGAACCAGACCAGTATGATAATTATTGCATGATTCCAACAACATGTTCCGTCTCAAATATTTAACTTCTTAGAGACAGAAAATGGAATGACAACTATCAGTGGTGGTAAGGAGGGGTGAATTGGGTAGTTATTATTTAATGTGTAGAATTTTAGTTTGGGATGATGAAGTATTGTTGGAAATAGGTTCTGGCAAAAAACATAAATGTTCTTAATGACTTACACATTTAACAATGGTCAAAATGGCACGCTTTCACCATTTTGTACCAATGTGGTCTATTTTACCACAACAAAATTGGCTAACATGTAGTGCATTGTAATCAATACAAACAAACAGCCTAAGAGAAGAGGACCAGGTAGCACTATTTTAGATAAGATCACAGTAATTTTCTCAGAGACAGGAATCTTTGAATAGAAGAGGTAAAGCCCAGGAGAAGAGTAAAGAACCAGGATAGCCCAGTCTGACGACAATCGTGTGGAGTCTAGAACTGTTCTTATGTATGACAGCGGCAGGATCTCTGCTGTCCCTTACAGTGTTTGCATGTGCATGTGGTGAGTGTGCACGGAGCAGAAATACGCTTGGGTATGGGTATGTTTCTGTATGGTAAGCAAGGAAATTGACTTGAGTAACCACGTGAACCTACTGATTCAGGTAACTTAATCACAGGAATTAGCAAAATGGATGTCAGTTGAAGGGGAGATGGTACTTCATTAAGGTAGACAGCCATACTGTACTCTTGGAGGCCTCTGGGGAGTCATCCTAAGGAGTGTGTACTACAGTTCCAAAGAGAGTTGCTTATTAACCTGGGGTTGAAGGTCAGCTTGGATTATCTATTTAAAAATCAGGTCCAGCTCCACCCTCATTTTGAGGCATCTGTTGGAGTTCCCGGTTGAAGAGAAGCTTCCTTGCCTCCTGAATCCTTGCTGGGCCAAAGCCCTGGAATATCATTTCTGGTGAGTGGATTTGGGTTCCTATATCCAAAGTCTAGGGATTTGACTAAACTCCAGAGCTATGCCTGAGGTAAGGGGCATGCCAGGCAGAAATCATGTTGGCGGCAGATGGCGGCACACGTGTGAGATCCTTCAGAACATATTGTCTGCCTTCATTCTCAAGCCCTAAGCCATCAGACACTGGTGAGTTGGCAGTGTGAACTTGTTTGGCTCACACTGCCATGAGAGACATCTGCCTGCAGTGACACCAGAGACTTAGACACTAATGACCTTCCTCAGAAGGGCCTCTTCTGTATGCATGCTGTTAGCCTATTTTTGTTTAAATACTAACCACACAGTATGACAAGGAATGCTTAATATTTAAAATACTCAATCTGGACATCACTTTTATCATGACTAATCCATGTGTACAATGTTTATCCCCAAGTTGTAGGACAGAGGCAAGATTGACACATACATACTGAAAAGGATGAGGTCATCTTTCATGATTTTTCTTACACCAAAGTGAGGACCATGTCGCTTTTGACATCCTTCCTTCTGCTGTATGCGGCAACGGCAGTTTATGCAGAGACCTTAACTGGAGGTGCTCAAAGTACCTGCCCTGTGATTACCTGCAATCCTCCAGGCCTGAATGGCTTGCCAGGCAGAGATGGACGTGACGGTGCCAAGGGAGAAAAGGGAGAAAAGGGAGAAAAGGGAGAACCAGGTATGCTTTAAAACTGTTTTCTTTAACTGTAAAACATTTTGGTTTAAATTATGTGTGTGTGGGTGTGCACACGTGGGTGTACATATGCACATTCTCATGTGCATTTGTGGGCAGGTTATTTTGGAGATCAAAAACATAATATCCTCCTGGAGCTGAAGTTCAGGCAGCTGTGAGCTACCCATCATGGGAGCTGGGAACTGAACTTAGGTCCTCTGTGGTAGCAGCATATGCCCTTAAGCACTGAAGCATCTCTACAGCTCCTTTCTCTGACTCTATATTCTAGAGGAAGTTGACTAGAGGTACATTCCAGTAAAGTCTTATTTAGGCACATTGTACTTTCAGCAGCAACATACTGTAACTCAGAATAGATACAGTTTCAGTTCTCTGGCACTCAGGGGCTGTCACACAGAAGCGAGTGGGACTGCCTTACCTGTCCAGGACGGTGGACCTCATGCTATGCTGTCTCATGGAGCATAGGGAACTTAACCTCATCACAGGGGGTTAAACACTAGAAAAAGAGCAAAACAACAGATATTGATCTAAGTTTTGTTTGTCTTCCTTCAGGTCAAGGGCTCAGAGGCTTGCAGGGCCCTCCTGGAAAAGCAGGACCTGCAGGAACCCCAGGGAATCCTGGGTCAAAAGGAGAAGTGGGACCAAAGGGAGATCGTGGAGACAGTGTAGGTGAGGACATCAATTCAGAATGTCTGCTTTCCCAGTGCTGCAAGGCGATGCCCAGCTCAGGTTCCTGGTCAAGTTCCCTTAGCATTGTCTGGTTACTTAGAGCCTAAAGGGGTTTCTGACAATGACTATCTATATATTTGCAGTTCTTTCAGGAAATCCTGTTTTCAGATACCCTGTAAAGGGTGGGAGTCCAGATTGTAGATTCTCTTAAACAGTCTCTTTCATCTGACTTTCTGACCTCAAGGAGACAATGCTGTATGTCAATGTGGGCTCATTATATCTGTTTAACCTACTACAACTGTTTTAACATTGACAGGCATGCAAATTCTATTTCAGTTTTAAAAAACCAATCCAAAACTCTAGAGGTTAAAATCATAGTATTTATTGCCTTGCCCTCATTGGTAACTGCCTCATCCTGGGATGTAGTCTGTCCTGTGAGAATTTGCTCTTCCTGGAATATGGTCAGGCCTTCTTTGCACTGTTTTCCTTGAAGAAGATTAGATAGCTTAGAAAGGCAATTTTTCGAGGAGCTAGCCTACTAATGGCCTAATTAGATAAAGATAAAGATTAATGTAGGCCTGGCAAAACCAGATTTTTTTCTATTAAGGTATTTTAATGTGAAAAATAAAAGTCCAACTCTTCTTCTTCTTCCTCTTCTTCCTCTTCTTCCTCTTCTTCCTCTTCTTCTTCTTCTTCTTCTCCTCCTCCTCCTCCTCCTCCTCCTCCTCCTCCTCCTCCTCCTCCTCCTCCTCCTTCTCCTCCTCCTCTTCGTCCTCCTTCTCTGAAAAAGATACCACACTCCCTAAACCACAGCATAGGTCCCCTCACTCACACTGCTTTTCACTGTTTAACTTTCTAGAATTCGATTCGAGGAAAATCGATTCAGAAATTTCAGCCCTTCGATCAGAGCTGAGAGACTTGTGGGAATGTAAGTATCCTCCCTTATTCTCTGGCAGCTTAAAAGTTTGGGAATGGTGGAAGGCAGAGAGTTCACTGCATTCGTATGATTTCCTAGACCTGTAAAAACTGCTCCCATTCAGATCTCATGAGATCCTCCCAACAACCATTTGGTAGGAACAGAAGCAATTTGGGGTTAAATTATTTACTCAATTTCACAGAGCTAGTGGTAGATCCAGGTTATAAGCTGCAGAGAGTCTGATTCCCGGGCCCCAGTTCTGTAGGGTCAGATCTTGCTCACTAAAAATAGAATGTGTGCTACTTTGTAATCCTGGGATCTAGACCAGATGATGGAGCCAATTATGTTTCTTCTAGCTGTGGCCAGATAGACTCAGACATTTTTGTCTGATTGAGAGTTACCAGAATGGTAGAATTAGAATTCCAGATAACCTGTGCTTCACAGTGCCGATTTCAATGTAAAAGATGTGCCTATTTATTCATACTAAGACTACAATACAAAACAAAACAAAAAAAAGAAGAAGAAGAAGAAGGAGAGGAAGATAACAGTTAAACTAGAACCTTAGGTAAAAAGTGCATGTTTTGATTTTTGTAAGCATTTTACCACAGGTCTCGAGCGTCAAGACATCCATTATGTTCGATGCCGTTCGAGAAAATGGAGTACGCATGGCTTCACTTGATCTTCACACAATGAGTGCTCCAGAAGGCAAGCCGGTGTCACCCACCTTTTTACATTTTAGGGGTGTTCTTCTCTCAGATTGAAAATGTTGGAGAGAAGTACTATATCAGAACTCTTGAAAATTCAAGCTTTGATCGTGTGATTGCTCTATGCTCCAAACTCCAGGGCTCTGTAGCCACTCCCAGGGATTTTGAGGAAATCAAGGCCATCGAAAATTTGGCCAAAGGTGGTGCCTATTTGGGCATAACATACGAGAGTACTGAAAACGTTTATGTGGATCTGTCAGGAAACAAAGTGGACATTTTGGGGATTTACGGGAGGCTCAAATATAAGGACAATGGGGGAAAATGTGTGGTGGTATATTCATATGACAAGTGGCAAAATGTCCTTTGCACTGATTCTTTTTCAGCAGTCTGTGAATTTTCTTAATGAGGGTGCTTGTGTCTCAGCCCTCCTCGATGCTTTAATGTATTCTATAAGTCCACAGTTTGTTCTGAAAAAAATAAAATATGCAATAATATAAACAATTCAACATTGGTTACCTAATTAAGCTGTAACACTTTTCTGAATAATGTTCTCCTGTGAAGGTGTAGAAATAAAGTATGTTTATTTTCCATTTATGACTTTTGTGTTCTACAGGGTCCCCTTTTCTCCTTGGGTAATGGCGTCACCCTGTCTAATTCCATAGTTTCTCAGCCCAGTCTCAGATATTAAAAGAGTCTACTTCAGAGATGTGCTTCCTTTCTAGTGGATATTAATCTATGGACAGAGGGTAAGTCTCAAGTGAACAGATTGATAAATTCTCTCTCTCTCTCTCTCTCTCTCTCTCTCTCTCTCTCACACACACACACACACACACACACACGTTATAGTGTCCTCCATCTATCCATCATTCATTAATTTTCTATTTGTCTGTCTATCTAATATCCATGTTGTAGGTAGAGGCACAGAACATTTCTCTGACCCTAGAAACCACTTAATCACTTCTACTTACTGTTATCAAGTATGATGAGTATGATTTTGATCTGTATCACAATAAATTAATCTCATCTCTTTATAAACTTCATATAGATAGAATTATACTGTATATACTGTTTTGTCTTATGTTGACATCTTACAGTTTTTTAAAAGATTTATTTATTTATTTAATATATATGAGTACTCCACTGCTCTCTTCAGACACACCAGAAGTGGGCATCAGACTCCATTACAGATGGTTGTGAGCCACAATGTGGTTGCTGGGAATTGAACTCAGGACCTCTGGAAGTGCAGTAGCTGATCTTAACCACTGAGCCATCTCTTCATGCAACTTCTTTCATAATTAATCACATGATAGTCATTCATGTTGTTACAGATAGCAGTAGTTTGTTCCTCTCACTGCTATAAAGAGCACCCTTATATTAAAGCTTCATAATTTCTCTTTTTTTTGCTGGCAGTGGACACAATTGAATCAGTTATAATTTTTGGTTATAATTAAGGGAAAAAACCAAAACCTCTTGGGGCTGGAAAGAGGACTCCACTGTTAAGAGCAGGTATTACTCTTGCAGAAGACCTGAGTTAAGTTCCCAGCACTGATATCAGGGAGCTTACAAACCCCTGTACCCCCAGCTACAGGGGGCCTCACAGTCTCAAGCTCCATAAACATTTGCACTCATATGTACAAACCCACACACCTACACAATGTTAAAAAGTGTAAAAATAAACCATGACAAAGAAAGCACTCATGAAGTTTCCTTTGGTAGGCACTGGTTTGCTGGCTGGTGGGTGGTGGGGAAAGCAGGCACTTGGATTCGATGAAAAGGTGCCAGACTCTGGTGATCTGTGTGTCAGGTGTAGACATTCTACATCTCAGGGAGGAGGCTGCACGTAGACTCTTTTGACTTTGGCCATTTTTATAGGTATAAAGCGTTATGGTCCAGTGCTTTTATTCTATTTCTCCAGTGTGTTCTAACCATGAAGATAGTCCACATGGTGACTACTAATTAAACATCTTTTGTGAGCTACCCATTCAAAGCTTTTGTAGTTGTTTTAATTGACCTGTACTTTTCATATTAACAGGTATTTTTTCATTCAGAATAGAAATCTCTTCTGTTTATCTGAATCATAGGCACCTTTTCAGGTTTTCACTTCTGCCATTATTGGTTTCAATGAATTTAAGAGATCAGTTGTCTATCTCTCTATCTTCTCTTTCTGTGATATGTAGAAACAGGGTTGTTTCCTTTAAAAGCTCACAGATGTTTCTGCATACATAGCCATGTAATCTGAATACAACTGCATCACCACAAGTGACTGTTGGTTTTTCTCTTGCTGAATACCACATAGCCTGGCCCATCTTTCCCATTGTCCCTAGGGGTATTGTTCCTATGATGCAAAAAGTGGAATCATAGCTCATACAGGGGAATCATAGCTCATGCTGGAAAACAGCACGGAAGGCCTTAAAAGCAGCAGCACCTGACACACACTAGCACACATTAAAGGAATCATCCGAGGAAACATACAAAGTAAGCATGTATGCAGAATACATATATATATATATATATATATATATATATATATATATATATATAATTTTCACATATATCCTCAGAGACCGATAAAATTCCTGCCTTTGACCACTCTTGTCTCCAGTTCTTTCTAAAACTAGAAAAAGAAAAAAGAAAGAAAGAGAGAAAGAGCCGGGCGGTGGTGGCGCATGCCTTTAATCCCAGCACTTGGGAGGCAGAAGCACGCGGATTTCTGAGTTCAAGGCCAGCCTGGTCTACAGAGTGAGTTCCAGGACAGCTACACAGAGAAACCCTGTCTGGAAAAACAAAAACAAAAAAACAAAAACAAAAACAAAACAAAAAAAAGAAAGAGAGAAAGAAAAAAGAAAGAGAGAGTGAGAGAGAAAGAAAGGGGATGCACAGGTTTTTAATTCCAGCTCTTGAGAGGCAGAAACAGCAGATCTCTATGAGTTTGAGGCCATCCTGGTCTACATAGTGAGTTACAAGCCAGCCAGAGATACACAGTGAGACTCTGTCTCAAAAAACAAAGATGGAAACAAAACAAAACTCATTTCCTCTCCCAAACCCCCAAAACAAAACCAAAAAAAATCAACAACCCTACCTCAACCACCACCATTACCATGACCACAACATGACCTCCACCAAAGCCTATGAAAAGATGATGGAGGAGGAAGAGGAGGAGGAGGAGGAAGAGGAGGAGGAGGAGGAGGAGGAGGAGGAGGAGGAAGAGAGGAACAAGGGGGAGGGTATGGGGGTGGGGAGGAAGAATAAAGACATTCTGGCCTTAGGGAACCACTGAGTGCTGAGCATTGTCCTATAGTGAAGCAACACCTGACTATACTCCTCATGGCAATTCCTCTAGTAAGACTTCTAGGGGTGTAGTAGTAGCATAAGTTAATACTAGTTAAAGCTCTTCATGTTTGATAGGAAACAGCTGACCCCAGTTTTATGAGTAGTTCCCAGGACTTGTAAAAGACTCAAGAATCAGAGTCACACTTGGGAAGTCCAAAAGTCTGACTCCTAAACTAGTAGTTTTACTTCATTCTGTCCTCCATGTCAGAGGTCATTTTTTACAATAGTCAATACTTGCCAGTAACACAGCTGACATTGTACCTTTATCAGGATTCTAGGCAAAGGGAGGCAGAAAGTCAATCCAAAATCAAATTCAGCAGTAGGATGAGAGAGTTTTGGAACCTGTACCTATATAGTACCATGTTTAAATCCAGTGTTCTCAAGTGCTCCAGACAAAAAGAGGTTATAAATATAAAACAAATGAAGTGGGATAGGATAGGATAGGATAGGATAGGACAGGACAGGACAGGACAGGACAGGACAGGACAGGACAGGACAGGACAGGATAGGATAGGATATAAACCTCCTTTGGAACCTTCCTCTAAAGTTGTGGTTCCATCTGGTTGTTAGGATAATAAGGATGAGAACTAAGTAGATTCCCCACGTTGTTGCTTGGCAGTTAGATGAGCTTGGGTTTTGCTTAGCAATGGAATGACTGGGAATGGAATCACTGGGCTAGATTTCTAATGCCACATAGAATGATGGACTTTGATGCAGAGAAAAATTGGTGCAGTTGCTTTCTCCTATTAGTATTTGGCTCACTCCTGGCTGGAGCCAGATTCCAATAGCTCGTAGACTTCCTAGGCATGCAAGCCTTGAGCCCTTCATCTTGTAACTGTCCCTCTTGGTTAGTATAGCTTTACTTTTCTTCTACTCGCGAAGGTAGCAAGATTGACCACAGTCATTCTTTTCCAACTTATAATTCTATTTTGAAATTCTCTTCTTTTAAAACATTAAGTGGGTAGAGCCTCAATCATGTTTACATTCTACATTCTATCTCCTTCTTGCTTGAGCTTGGAGAGCCAACTGTGGCTATAGACAAGTATATGATCTCCCTGTCATCTGTTACCTTTAGTATCAAGGAGTCCTGAGCCCATCCACTCATCACCCTGACTCATTTCTTCTCCATCCACTCTCATGCTCCAGGATGTGCCCTGAGACTCAGTCTACTTCTTGCGCTGTTCACCCTTCTTCCTTATCCTCTGTACTTTTGGGGGAGGATGGAGAGACAAGGTCTTTCTGCATAGTCCTGGATGGCTTGGAATTTGTTATGTAGACCAAGTTGGCCCAGACCTTGTGACTTAATGTTCATTAAACTTCACTTCTTTTCATTGTCTTTGTGTCTGGTCACCAACATCATTTCTTCTGTACTTAGGGAGGTTGTCTTGCTCAGAGGTCCTGAGGCAAAGGCTTGGTACCCAGCATGACAATGAGGAGATACTTTGGATGTAGCCACTCCCATCAGAGGTCCAGACCAGCAGGGTCATGGCTTGAATGCCTAGAAATATAATCTTAATAAATCTGCTTTTTTTCTTCCATTTCCAGCCTTGGGCTTGTTGTTACAGTGATGTGGAGCTGACTAGTTTAATCTCCACTCACTACTTCTAAACTTCCATTTCCTCTCTGGGGAAGCTACATATTCCCTATTCTTGAGCTAATTTTGCTTCAAAGTCAACACTAGTACTGAAATTACTAAAATGTTGAATGGTTGTCCTATAAACTGTCACCTGCAATGATAAATTCCTCACAGCTTTTCTCACCTTCCTAAACCTGCGACCTTTTGATACAGTTCCTCATGTTGTGATGAGCCCTCAATCATAATATTATTTTATTGCTTCTTCATAACTGTATCTTTGCTGCGAAAAGGTCAGTCAACTTCCAAAGGGGTTTTGACCCACAGGTTGAGAACTGCTAACTAATGCAACAAACACTGCCTGATAAATTGTTGCCACTGAAAAAATACCTCCTAAGTGGTTGTCACTGAGCCAACTCATTTAGCTACTGTCAGCTCCTACAGGGCCTTCGGCCTTGCTCAGTGCTGCCTCCTTCCTGCCACTCTTACCAGATATACACTTAGCTTACCCATCCACCTAGCTGCAGAACTGATTGGTCTCTGTGACCAATTAGACCACCATAGCCTCTCTGAGTGCACTGTGGATTGTTTCTGCTCACCCCGCCCCCATGTCACGGTTTGCCAGATCTGCAGTTTATGCTGGACTAGCTTGCTTCATATGCATTTATGTTACTCTCCTGAGTTGCAGCTT